CCCCTGCGGGGGGGTGCCCCTGCCGCCTCTTCTTCAGAGTCTGCCTGAAGCCAGGGATCCCAGAGGAGGCGGCGGAGTCTCCGTGCGCTGTGGGCGCGGCGCTGAGTGCGCGTGGACCGGTCTACACCAAACTGCCCCGGGCTCCAGCTCCTGACTTGCCGCTGCCCGACAGCCTGATGCGCGTGCCCTTCCGGGATGCCTGGCCGGTGAGAACCGGCCCCGGGGGCACCCTCGTGCTGGAGTCCTTACCCAAATCTTGACCCCTTTCTGTCCTCCAACTTCCAAGGCCCCAACCCTCCCCCTCATTCCAAATTCCCAGACCAGTAAGTCTACCATCTGGAAAAACCCTTTCTCAGACTCATAAACCCGACTTACTGACGATCCCAACTTTTCTGACTCTCATTTGCCCTCTAGGTATACAAAATGTTATAATCCCAGCCCTGCATGCTTGGGACCCCGAATTCCCGCCCTCATGCCCCAACCCAACTCAACCTCTGGAGAGAATAAATGCACAGAACTTTGCCTCTGTTCCCTGGGGATCTCTAAATGCTGGGATTCTTTATCTCCAGTTTCCTTGCACCTAGGGACCCTCACACCCTGTCTTGGGGACCCCCCCAACTCGTCTCACTTTATCCCTTCTCAGATATTCCAGTTGGGGCCTGTATTCATGACTCTTTCACCTCTAAAATCCTCTCTCCCATCCCACAACCCCAAAAGCACAGAGGTGAACAAACCTGTATTTGAAGTCTAAGACCCTTGTTCTTTTGGGCAAGTGACCTTTTCTTTTCTATCCTCAGTTTCCTCATCTGTAAAATGGGGACATCATGGTACCTCACAAGGTTATCTTAAATATAGTCCTCACCACTTACTAAATGCTCAGTAAAGGAAGCCAAAACTGCCATTCCTTCCCTGAGCCAGTCCCTCTGGAAGCTGTCCGTTGCCTGCCTGGTGCCTGGAATGGTCATTACCCCTAAACCCTGGCCTTCATCAAGTACTTGCTCTGCCCACTGTTTTTCATTCTTTCCTCTCACCCTTCCAGGGCACCTTCTCTCTCATCATTGAAACCTGGAGAGAAGAGTTAGGAGAGCAGGTTGGAGGTGAGTGTCTTCAGTCTTGGGACTACTGTGTAGAATGTGGGAATTGGGGTCCAACGTGAGTGACATGGCTGTCTGCAGGGTGGTTTTCACAGATTGCTGGACCCATGATGTCATCACAGCTCTTGGAGGGTGGTGCTGGGTGTTGACAGCTCCAGGGCTCTTGCCATGTCCATACAGAAATGTCCTGGTACTGGAAGTAGGAGTCTGTGGTCCCAATAGTGAAAGATAGGAACACTTACTATCTTGGAATTGAAGCCACCAGAGCAGGATAGAGCAGCTCACAGTGACAGTACTGCTCTGCCACCATTTGATTTTGAGAACCAAGGGTACATTACTTTTGGTTCTTGTACACAAAGCTCTGTCACTGTGTCCATATAGAGGTCCCAGGGAGCATGGGATGCTGCGGTTTTATCAGAATATTGAGCAAAGGTTTCAGGGAGGGATATAGGTGATCTTATCCTTAATTCGAGGGGATTTTGGTGTCATGTAAAGCCCATGTGGGTGTTGTCATAATTAAAAAAATATATATATATTTTTATTGATTTCAGAGGGGAAGGGAGAGGGAGACATAGAAACATCAATGATGATGAGAGAGAATCATTTATCAGCTGCATGTCCTCTACTGGGGATCGAGCCCACAACCCAGGCATGTGCCCTTGACCAGGATTGAACCCGGGATCCTTCAGTCTGCAGGCTGACACTCTAGCCGCTGAGCCAAACCAGCTAGGGCAGTGATGGTGAAACTTTTGAGCTCGGCGTGTCAGCATTTTGAAAAACCCTAACTTAACTCTGGTGCCGTGTCACATACAGAAGTTTTTTGATATTTGCAACCATAGTAAAACTAAGACATATTTTTGATATTTATTTTATATATTTAAATGTCATTTAACAAAGAAAAATCAACCAAAAAAATGAGTTCGCATGTCACCTCTGACACGCGTGTCATAGGTTCGCCATCACTGAGCTAGGGTGATGTTGTCATCATTTTGATACAGAAAGCTGTGGCACAATATTGGAGTGTGACAGCCTTGATGAGGAGAAACTGCTACTCTCCCAGTATTTCCAAGGCCTCAAGCAATAAGGGTAATTTATGATTTAGTAATTGGGGTCTCTGTCACCATTTTCACATAGGAAGATCCAGAGGCACAATTTGGGGATATTATGACCTCACTTCAAAAGACCCGTTATTTTCCCTTGGCCATATAGAGATATAAATGCCACAGGGTGTTAGAGGTCTCATCACTAAAATACAAAGATTGTGGGGCAGCACTAGCCGGTTTGGCTCAGTGGACAGAACCTTGACTTGCGCACCAAAGGGTCCTGGGTTCGATTCTGGTCAAGGGCACATGCCTAGCTTTGGTAGCAGGCTCCTTCTCAGCCCTGGCCCTGGTCAGGGTGCATGCAGGAGGCTACCAATCGATGTGTTTCTCTCACATCAGTGTTTCTCTCTGTCTTTCCCTCTCTCTTCCACTCTCTCTAAACAACAACAACAAACAAACCCAATGGGAAAAATAGTGAGGATTAACCACAAACAAAACACACACACACACACACACACACACACACACACAGATCATGGTGCAAAACATTGGGGTATTTTGGCTTCTATGGAAGAGCTGTGATCATAGTGATGGTCACTGGACACTGGATGGGACTGTGACTTCAGGGGTCTCAGGGCGCAGTAGGAGGCTCACCGCGCTGCTAAGGGGTAACTGCCATTCTCAGGGTTGGAATAGGGTGTTCGGTCCTCGCTGAGGGGCCGGAAGAGTGCGAGCAGGCGCGCTACGGCTCTATCGCGAGACTGAGTGCGCCGCCATCTGGCCGGGCGATCCAGCGTCGCTC